ACAATTGATTATAAAGAAAATGAAAATATTTGTATGAAATAAACGTTTTATCGAAAACCAATCGACCAAATATCTTTGCTCACTTATTATCCATTTAATCAGCATATTTTACCATGGTTCCAGAACATTAGAAACAATGTAGTCAAGATTTGCCTCTTTTTAGATGTAAATTAAATAAATAATGAAAAATAGATGACATATATCGGTTTTTGGAGTTAATAATATTTATAAATTTTCATTATCTTTCAGTTAGAGCTGGATATAAGCAAAAAACTCTTTCATTCCACGATGCACTATATTTGTCTGGGTTATATTTCATAGAATTATTGCGCATTCTGCGGTTTTCACCTTATTGATGATATGGCCCACAAAAACGGTAAAGAGGACTTGACAGAGACTATCTCCTTACCTAATTCCCATTGAGACAGCTTATGGGTTGCTCTTATAGAAGTGCTGTACCCCATGTTCAATTGTCGAAAAATTTCAATCGGTTTTTTGGTTTAAGTTTAAGAAGATTGTATTTATGGTGGATCTATTATTTCGGTTTCAAAAGAGAAACTGAAACATCACAAGCAATAGAAATACGTAGAGGAGTACGACAGGGTTGCATTTTGTCACCTCTGTTATTTAATGTATATAGTGAAAGCATCTGTCAGGAAGCCCTTTTACAAGCAAACGGAGGAATCATAATTAATGGAGAGATTATAAATAATATTCGATACGCGGACGACACTGTACTAGTTGCAAGAACAGTAGAAGAATTACAAAGATTACTTACAGACATAAATATTGCTTGCAACAATTATGGTATAAATATCAATATTAAAAAAACCAAGTATATGGTCTTCAGTAAAAACATGACACAACCAGCGTATATTAGTATAAACGGCACTCAAGTTGAAAAAGTATCAAGTTACAAATACTTGGGAACTTTAATAAACGAAACTGGAGACCAAAACAGTGAAATAAAAAGACGTATCGAAATTGCCAGGGCCACCTTCATAAAGATGAGAAAATTCTTCTGCAACAGAAATATAAGCATCCCTCTACGATTAAGAATGCTGAGAGGCTATGTATTTAACACGCTATTATACGGTGTAGAAGCCTGGACTCTCAAGCAGAACAACATGAAAAATATTGAAAGTTTCGAGATGTGGTGCTACCGTCGAATGCTGAAGGTTAGTTGGGTTGAAAGAATAACAAACTGTGAAGTAATACGAAGAATAGGAAAAGACCCAGAGATTTTGTTAACGCTAAAGCGAAGCTGATGACCGCGACCAGTGGAGAAATATCAATCAAACTGTCCGAGATGCTGAAGCCCAATTATGAACCACAACACATCTACTAAGATGTTAATGACTGTGATGATGAAAGCGAAGAAAACTCGAATATTTTGGTCACCTGATAAGAGGACATAAATACGCATTACTTCAAAATATAATGCAGGGAAAAATAGAAGGAAAACGGAATCCAGGCCGTAGAAGAATGTCATGGTTGCGGAAATTGAGAGAGTGGTTTGGCTGCACCACTAATGAACTCTTTAGGTCAGCCGTAAACAAGGTCAGAATAGCCTTGATGATTTCCAATCTCCGATAGGAGTGGCACAAAAAGAAGAAGAATTATTTCGGAATCCTTGTTTTTTTTTATTGATGCCACTTCGTCTGCCAAATTTTTTTTAAATAGCTTTGAGGCTGGTATAGTTACACTTTCGTCGTTTTATAAATCTTATTAAATAGAGTTTTTATTTTGTCAGTCCCAGTGCTTTTTGTTTTTTTTTAACTTAACAATTGTTAGTTCCAAGAAACAGTGATGCGTATTACAATATGTTGCTTTTAGGTAACACTTCTAGCCTCTACTACTCAATTTCTATCCTCACCTCTAAGAAGTATGGCTTAACCACATGGGTGAACTCTGGTAAACCTATCTGAGAAACCTTACCGAAGTTAGGTAACGACCAGTGAAAGCTAAAATCAGGGCCGACGATGAAGGGAAAAATGGTCTTCCGAGAAGGACAGCAAGCTTCCTAGGGTAAAAGCATAAAAAGCCCATTAGAGCCTTGGATAATGAAATAAATATTTTTTAAATTATATCCTATCATTGATAATAGAATTATTGGAAAAGAAATATGTTAAAAGCTTTTTGAATGATTTCTAATATTCTGTAACTTTTTTAGCAAATTTAAATTTTAAGCCAATCGTAGATTACACATTTTACATATAAAATATGTAATGGCGTTTATGAATAATTAAATGAGCTGTTATAGATATTTGGTGTTTGGTTTAAATACCAAAATCCTAACCCAAATTTCTAAACTTCTCACACAAATTTGTAGTGCAACTCGTGAGTACAATATTGCTTTTTCATTATCAGTCTAAATTCAAAATTCGGGTAAATTCCATAAAATACTTCGAATTAATAACTAATAATAAATACTAAATAAATTATCTCAACAGTAATAATATAATGAGTATCTTCACAGAAAATAATTACATACAAAGATTTTTGTCAGTACTATACTACGCTCCAAATACTAAAAATTTAATGTTCCTACAAAATCGAAGGAGGGGAAACAAAAATGATCTGTTCTATATGACTTTTAGCTCCAATTAAAGTAAATATTTAATGCTAGATTTATTGCAGCATCTCATATTAAAGAGATCTGAAATATACCGTCCTATATTTATTACTTTTTCTCCGGAAAAATCTTAAGAATACTTGATGCAATGTGTAAAAACAGCATATAGAAAAAATGATATAATTAAGAGATGTGTAAGAAACAGAATAGATCAACAACGAATGAAAAAGGTCTTCCTAGACCAAGGCTAGTCCCACTGGCTGTGAGAGATATGTCAAAGCTGTATTAAAATGATGGTGATGTTATGGTCAAATAGCAAGAATTAGCAATAGGCAGGAATGAACTCAACTCAATGGTATTACTAGGCTCAACTAGTAATACCATTGATAATGATGATGATGCTGGTGAAAGAATTTAAAAGAATAAAATCTTAACGATTCTCCTTCCATTTTAATAGGCATAAGCCTGTTTGAATTTGGTTCAATTTATTTTTTCCGACTATTTTTCTTGTGTGCTTTCACGCCCTTCCATTTGGAGATCGCTCTCTTTCTACTTTCACAAATTTGTCATTTTTCTACATTTTGGTTACATTCTATTTTCCTGTTTTGGGTCCTTTGGTCGTCGAAAATTAGAATCTATATGGGTGTTATTGTCCTATCTGTCAATATAGTAGAGACATTGATGATAACATCTAAACCAAGTAATTCACTACAACCACCATTTTTTGTCATTCAAAATGTAAAATAGCGCTAGAGGGGGTAGGAGGTGAGTAGTATCTTGAGACAGCTTTGTATTTGCTTGCGTTTTAGTAGTGGGGAATTCCAAAATTAGAATTTATGTAAATTTTATTGTTTAGGAAAGCCTTTTCTTAGCTATGAATCTATTATAGAGGACCTTCTACCCCACATCTTGTTTTAATTTTCTCATTTCTTAAGCCTTTACAGTTGTGCATGACAAATTAGAAAAGTATTTGTACATAAGGTTGTCATTAACACAACCATGTTATGAAAGACACGAATAGGAAAAACGCTTTTAATAAGTATATACAAAGATGCGACTAAGAAGATGCTACATAATGAATATGATTTTACACATGAACAATTGAACAAATTTTGAAGATAATTTTTGAAGATAATAAAATGATCTAGGATACTTATTTACGATTTTCGAGGTGTATTCTTCTTCTTTAAGTGCCCTCTCCGCTACGAAGTTTGGTTCAACAGGTTCAACAAAGAACAGCTCCCGTTCTTTGTTCATTCTTCGAAGCACTACACTATTTGTTATTTTGTCTGTCCAAGGTGTTTTCAAAATTCTTCTATATATCCACATTTCGAAGGCCTCTAGTTTATCGGTATTGCTCTTGTTTAAAGTTCAATTCTCTACTCCGTATAGCAGTATCGAAAAGATGTAGCATCTAAGCAATCTTATTTTCAGGTTTAAGTTAATGTCATGACTTCCCAGAATGTCTTTCATATTAACAAAAGCAGCTCGAGCCTTTCCAATTCTAGTTTTTATTTCTTCTGTGATGTCATTGTTATTATTAACACTTGTTCCCAAATACATATATATTTGTGCACCCATTCGTTTTCGTTATTGTGAATGTACAGGTTTGCATTCAATCTTTGTTTTTTTTTTTTGAAATAATCATGAATTTCATCTTCTTGACATTCATTATTAACCCTTTCTCTTCACTGGCTGTGACTACCTTATTTAAAATGGCTTGCGGTTCTTCTACTGTCTCCCCCATTAAAACCGTATCATCTGCGTATCTAATATTATTAATTGGTTGGCCCGTTAACTTGTATCTCAATCTCTTCTTCCTCCAATGCTTTCTTCATAATTTCTTCTGAATAGAGATTAAATAACATTGGTGACAGCACACATCCTTGTCTAACTCCTTTTTTAATTTGAATTTCATTTGTTGTGATATTTTCGATGCGTGTGACAGCCTTCTGATTAGAATACAGAGTAGATTGTATTCTTATATTGCAAGTGTCCAACTGTTTAGCTTTCAAGATCTCTAAAATTTGGTCATGCTTGACGTTATCAAACGCCTTGTTGTAATAAATGAAACAAGCAAATACATCTTAATTCCCTAGCAACCACTGTTATACTCCTATTAATGTGTAAATACCTATAGAGACAGATATATCTAGATTTATATAATTTAAAAATCACTTCGTGCATAAATAAAATGGACTATTTTCATCAAAGTAATAATAATAATATGAAACAAGTCGTAGCGCTGCAAAAATTTTTAGTAATTGTCTCGTCAGATCATTTCCGTTTCCATAAGTAACCGAGTCTGCAGTAACATAGAAAAGAATCCACAATTTTTGGAACACAGCATTACAAATAACGTCTAGTAATAAATAAACATTAAAAACTTAACAGAAACTAACATCTACTGAGCAGGAAAATACATCTAGGTACATTCAATGATGTGGGGCTGCGAAGACTCTATGACACTAGGTCTGGTCTCTTTTCCAGTGTGAATAGAGTTCGGTGGCGCTCTCTGGTGAGCCCCGTTCTGAATTAGAGATGGAAGCGGCCTGGAAAGACCAGGATGAAGCACTGTGTGACTTACTTGCGGCTGAGAGGTGTGAATCTCGTACGGTTCTTTCGGATCTTCCGAACCATCTTTTAACTCGATGGGTCCTGAGAAAAAAAAATTAATGTTATTCATAGGCTTCATATTTTAATGAAGTACACAATCTAATAAAGGTTATCCCCCGTTAAGAAAGCAAAATGCCCTCACTCCCAAAATTCAATACATTCTATTGAATCAAAAAATAACAGCGCAATTTTAATCCGCCACCCTCTCTCTCTCTCCTCGTATCACTTTCTCTACCGCCCCCAAAAACGTAATCTTTTGTTTTTGATTTATTTTTTGTAATGTTTTGTAAGAAAACTGAGGAACTGAAAACTAAGGAAAACTGAGTTGGACCTTGAAAAGTACTAAAATAGAACAGTATTTAAAAACCAGAAATTACGATCAGTGTATCCTTCCTATACTCACGTATGATTCACAGACGTGGACACTCACCAAGTACAATATGGATAAAATGGTAAAGGCACAAAGACCAATGGAAAGATCAATGCTCGGGGTGAGACTTACAGACAAAAAACAAACAAATGGATTAGAAGTAAAACTAAAGTAAAAGACGCAGGAGAACATGCTGCCAAATTAAAATGGAGCTTCGCAGGACACAATGCCCGACTGAAGGATAAGAGATGGAACTACGAAATACAACAATGGAGGCCTTGGTTAGGAAAAAGAAGCAAAGGAAGGCCACAAATGAGATGGGCTGATGACATTAAGAAGATTGGAAGACACAACTGGAAGCAAGAGGCGCAAAATAGAAGACACTGGATCTATACCCTCTACAAAACAGTAATTAGACCAGTGGTCACATATGGATGTGAAACGTAGACCCTTTCAACCACTGATAAAAACCAATTAAGAATGTTTAAGCGCAAAATATTAAGAAATATATTTGGACCAACCCATTGTAGCGATGGTTTGTGAAAAATAAAAGTGAACTATGAGCTGAATCTCATAATGGCGATCTTAATGCAGATTGCCATTTTCGTGAGTTTTGTAAGCTCACAAAGACTAAACTAGGTTGGCCATTTAGAAATAATATAAGATAATCGAGCTGTAAAAGTAATTTAGAGATGGGAACCCAAAGGAAATAGAACAAGAGGAGGTTCCATAAAAGTTGGATAGACGATTTAGAAGAACATCAGGCAGTGGCGAAGGAAAGTATTCGACAGAGTAGAATAGAAGAACAAAGCAGGTTAAGATCTACAACGGTTTGTAGCACTATTAGACGAAGAAGAAAAAGAGAAAGCGGTACTATTTTGGGCTCATTACCCTTTTCAAATCCTTAATTACATCAAAACAAAGGTAAAACTCTACAAAACAATAATACGTCCAATCCTAACATACAGCTCAGATACTTGGCTCCACCAGTAATGAAAAGATGTTGAATTGTTTTAAAAGGAAAGTACTAAGGAGAATTTAGGAGCGGTAAATGATGATATAACTTCGAAAGGTACAGATTATACCATGAATCAGAATAGTCAAATATATCAAAACAGGATATCTGAGCTGGCTAGGACATGTAATGTGAAAAGAATAAAGTGACTTTGTGAGGAAAATGCTCTCTTTGATATACTCATTAGAACAAGAGAAAGATCCAGAATTGGAATACGAGCTTGCAGAGATAAGCAATTAATAGGTAAGACTAGAGAATAATTCTTGAGTAGATTAGTACCAACTAAACTGCTCAAGATCGATAGGATTGTTAATCCAGAATAGCTAGAACTAGCCAAATTTAAAAATATACTGTTTGGTTTGTATTTGATATATTCTGTCAAAGGAATAGGTATGAAAAAGATATATTATAATAAATTATATAGTACATTTGCCGAATATTACATATCATTCATGGATTATGTTTTATATTACGTGTCTTTTCTAGTCATAAAACCTAAAATTATAAAATTAAGTCGCGCTGGACATCTATTCATCAAACAAAGTAATCAATATGACGAAGAATCATGACTTACACTGAGAATTTCCCGATTCGACTGTCTTGAGAGAGTTTCTTTGATTACAAATATTTTTTACTGATTAATTAAATTTTAAATTCAATTCGAGACCTTGAAGTTTTCTAATTCTTATGTCTAATGATGATGCAGGTACAAAGAACCGATGTTATTAACAACATAATTATGTATATTTAAATATCTGACTTACCTAAACCAGCGTCAGATCCCGCAAAATCATAGTATCCGTTCGAAGATCCATCCCCATTCAGTTCTTCATCAATGTTGTTTGGCCTGCAACTGGTCGTCTTCCAATGCGTTCTCAGCCCAGATGCACTAATGTAATTTTTCCCACACTCTTGACAGATGTATGGTCTCTCATTAGTATGCAGTCTCTTGTGAAGCTTCAGGTGCACAAATTGCGTGAACTTAGCAGGGCAGAAGTCGCAAGCGTAAGGTTTCTGTCCACTGTGCAGCCTAAGATGAGTTTTAAGATTAGATGTCGAGGAGAACCTCTTTTTGCAAATCCCGCATTCGTGAGGTCGCTCTCCGGTGTGAACCAAGTGATGCTTTTGAAGGTGCGCTAATTGAGTGAACGATTTCGTGCAAACATTGCATTTAAATGGTCGCTCTCCACTATGCGTTCGTAAGTGAACTTTCAAATTTGATAACTGACCAAAAGTCTTGCAACACACGTTACATTCGTAGTGCATTTTTCCATCTTTCTTCTTAAGCGGATAGGGTAAGCTCCTATAACCTCTTGAAGGTCCACCGTTGGGACTTGTTGGGTTACTTGAACATAAATTCAGATCATACTTCCCGTCGGGACTTTTGCAACCAGGAGACATTCTTCCGTTAATTTGCAAAGCTGGTAAAGGTGTCAATAAGTGATGCGTTAAATTAGAGCTGACAATATGACTTGTCGGAACGATCAAATTTGTACCATTGTTGTGATGATTATTGCTGAAGTTGCTTGTTATTGGAGGCGAGTATGTGTGTGTTGGAGATGATGTTATGGTACTGTGAACAATACCATTTGGAGAAGGGTACACACTGTAATAGTTTGTTGACTGGATCGTGCTGTGATAGTTGTCCGTAGGATGTGGGACATAAGTGTTATTTTGTACTTCTGATTTCAAGGTTGCTGGACTAGGAGGCATCATATTCTGTACCTGAACGTTGGAGCTGGAATCCGGACTGCAAGGTAGAGTAGAATACCTAGAACATTAATTGTTTTAGTTATACATATATTATAAATTAATTATAGAGGTTTTTTTGGAAGTTAAGGAATTACCTGTGACTTTTCTTGTAGGAATAAGCCATTTCCGTCGGTGAACTGGGAGGTGGGGTTGCATTGCTCTGTCTATTATGATTATCGTTATTATTAGTATCTATTCTATTTCTTAAAAGAATATTTTCCAAAATGCTTGACGATGGAGGACTGTATCTCGATATAACGTTAGTATTCTTAACTTCAGTTTCATAATAAGGTTTATTAGGAACTTCTTGAGGTGGAGAATCCATCACAATGACAGTCGTCGGAGGAGTGATAATTCTTGGGGTTAGTGTTGTTACTTCAGGTACTGCAGCATCCATAGTTAAGTCTTTTTCAACATCAGGTTCACTTTCGCTCTTCACCGATTTATAGTGATAAGCTTTCGTTATCTTAATTTTTACTTTCCTGTACTCATTTTTATGATTTTCAGGAGAAACTGGTTTGATAACAGTAGTTTCCTTAGGAGTCTTCTTGCTAAAATCAAGAACGTAGTTGTTTTCACTGTCAGAGTCACTGGAATCTTCTGGAGGTGTAAAAACGTCATCGTGGTACTCATTGCTGTGGTACCCTTCGTCAGATCGTACACTGCCTTCCGTCGGAGTCAGCTGATGCTCATACGGTGGTTCCTTAGAAGGAGGAGGTTCCGTAGTACTGACGGTTATCTCAGATGCTTGTTGAGCTTGTTGCCCTACACAAATAAAAGTATCGTTAGTGAAAATATGACTAATATTAATAAAAAAAAGCAGATATACAGTTCGACTAAAACAAGTTGGTGTAAAATGAAGTAGTTCGTACAAAAAATAAATAATAAAAATAACTTAATTATTAAAAATAAAAAAAAAACTGTGAACATAAGAATTTTTCATGTCCGAAGTAGAATTGAACAAGCTGCAAGTCCGATTCTGAAATTATTCGTGCCAGTTGAATAGAAAACACATCGGATGCATTCAGTCTCTGACCAATAGTCGAGCAGATGTCATCACTCGACGGTATACTTCAGTCAGTCAAGTCAGTCCTATACCAGACTCTAGGAGTCTCCTTACGACTCTGAGGTATACAGTTTAGTGTAAATGCCTTTCCACCAAGTGCAAATAGACAAGTGAAGTTAAGCAAAAAAAAGATAAACTGTAGACCAAGAAATAAGGTACTGATTAAATAAAGAAAGTACGATAAAAACGTGGAAGACGGTGGAAAAAATAACAGGAAGGAGTGAGATCTAAAACAAAGTTATAAGAGGTAGATCAAAGAAACGTAGTATCTACAGTACTATATAATAATTACATATAAGTACATATTAGTATGTACTAAATAGTAATGAGCATTTATGTAATCGAAAAGAAAAAAATATATTATTAAAATTAATGGCTTGCAGACTAAAAATACTTACTTAATCTCCGTAACATCTGTTCGCCGCTCAAGGGATAGTTCAGTCTCTCGGCAAACTCCTTGCAATACCAAACCAACAATTCCTGGTTAGGTAAAATCGGTTTGATCGTGTAGAAGTATATGTTCATCTTGTATTGGCAGGCGATGAGATTCTGGGATTCACCCGAATAAGCAGGGTTCACGTAACGCATCCAGTTGGCTTTGGAAGTGTCAAATCCGTCTATGTAGTAATACAGTTCGTTATCTTTGTAAAGCTGAAAGTTTAAGAGATAGAATTTTATTAGAACTAATGTAAATGTATTGTAATCCTAAATAAATGAGTAGACTCCGACAAAGTTTAGTTTGGGAATATGACTCATAACATGACGGTGCGAAGTGGTTCTTGGTTACTAGCGTTACCATAGAAATGGCCAGTTTGCAGTTTGCCAGTGTCGTAGTTGCGTATCGCAGAGAGTGTTTGACTTGTTGATTTGATCGTGTTGGATATTTAATTATTTTATTTTATATTAGTGCTTAGTATAATATAGGTAGTAGTAATTAGTGAATTATTAAGTCATTTAGTGTTTAGTTTAGTTTATTTATAGTCTGTTTAGTTATTAATAATAGTTATAATATGGCTTCTAAAAAGATAGGAACGAAAGGGCTGGGAGTAAATAGCCAAGCAAAGGCAATAATTTATAATGTTACTACATTTAAGGAACACAAGGCAGCACATATCGAAGCAACCTAAAACTTGTTAATACCTTTAAGGAAATTGACGTAAGTATTGTCAATGATATTTTATTTTCTTATGTGTGTGTATGTGTGTGTGTGTGTATGTGTGTGTGTGTGTATGTGTGTGTGTAGGTGTGTGTGTGTGTGTGTGTGTGTGTGTGTGTGTGTGTGTGTGTGTGTGTGTGTGTGTGTGTGTGTGTGTGGTGTGTGTGTGTGTGTGTGTGTGTGTGTGTGTGTGTGTGTGTGTGTGTGTGTGTGTGAAAAATATGACACGGAAACAAGTCCATTAGCCACATAATGTTTTATTTATGTTTAAAAATATTTTGTTTGTTCTTGTTTGTTACTTTTTTTAGATCTCTTTAGATTTTTTGTTATATTTATAAGTCATTGAAGTTATACTAATTTATATTTCTATTTTCACATCTTTAATTGTAAAGAATTGTATCTGTAAATATGTATTTTGCTAGTTTTCAACAATATTCTCCCTTTGCTGTTACCATTTCAGTCTAATTTTATTTTTTTTTTATAGTTAAATATATTCCTTACTGTATAAATATTGGAAAAGACTCCATTTGCACTGCTTCCTCAGCTAGAGTATCAGCTTTGTCATTCTCTGGTATACCTACATGGCCTCTAACCCAAATGAATGTTTTATTTAAGTTTACATTCATGTTTATTAAAAAACATAACATATGACACTTCATTCCTTCAAATTTTGTATTTTTTATAGAGTCTAATGCAAATTTAGAATCTGTTAATATTATTCCTTCGAGTATGTTATTGGATGTTAACCAGGTAATACCTTTTATATTTGCAACAAGCTCGGCAGTATAAATGCTAAAAACAGGTGGTAATTTATATTTGAATAATTGGTTTGTATTTTGTATAAATACACCACAACCAACACCTTGTGATTATCTATTTACGATGTTTCATCAGATACTTTCTACTATTTACTTGAAACAGAAAATAACCAATCTCAATATAGATTGTGTTAGTAAATATGATTAATATGCATTTTGTTTGTCAATATTTTCATCTAGTAACATTTAACATTGGTAATTATAGGGATAGGATTCTAGCAGCTACAGGTATAAGTAAAAACACCTTATCCAAAATAAGAAAAGAAGGTAGAGAAGTTAATAAAAATGGAGCGACTATTTCATATTTTACAAGTCGAAAAAGAAAACGTTCTCGTGTTAAAAAAACTCAATTGGACCAAGGAGAAGAAGAAATCATCAAAAATGTTATATATGACATTTACGATAACGATATGAACCATCTTAATTTTATGAAGTGGGTCAGAAGTCAGCTTATACCTAACTTACCTAAAAATTCGATCTTGGTGGTTGATAACGCATCCTATCATAATGTACTAATCGAAAAAAATGTGATCTGTGTCTGCTAGCCGTAGGGATATTATGGTAAAATGGTTACAAGAAAAAAGTATTCCCTTTCAAGAAAATCTGACCAAACCGGAATTATATAAAATTATTCAAGCCAATAAACCACGTTTTTCACCAGTTTATGTGTTAGACTATAAGCTTGAACAACATGGCCATCAAGTACTTGCTTGCCTTCTTATCATCCAGAGTTAAACCCTATTGAAAAAATATGGGCTTTGGTAAAAGGTAGAGTGGCCACTCATAATACAACATTTAATATAAATGATGTTGAAAATATAACAAGAGCAAAATTTTCAGAAGTGTTGATAGAAGAGTGGGCTAACATAATAATATGTAAACACGTAAAAAAATATGAAAACACTCAAATTGCAAGAGAACATTTATTAGACTCTACGCTGGACCACTTAAAATTTTTTATTAATACTGGTTCATCCGAAGAAAGCTTTTCTGATAATAAAGATAGTAATTAAAATTTCGGAATAGACGTGTTTTTGTGTGATATTCCTTTGTCATATAACAAAATATAGTCTATAAAATCTTATAAATAAGTCTTTAAAATCCATATTTTTTTTATAAAATAAATACATTATTTAATTTGTTAAAATAAATTACTTATTTTTTTTTGATTTGTTGAAACCCTTTCTTTCTTCCTGGCAATGTTAATAAATTGTAAGTATTAAGGAATTAGTTATTTATTAAAGGACTCCTAATAGTTTACTCATTGTATTATTGAATGCCTGACTATAAACTTCATAAATATTAAAAACTATAAAAATAAAAATTGACAAATTCATTCTCACTTGAATATACTTATAAAAATTTATTTTAAAGCTACCGGTTTCCGTCCGCCACTGGTAGAAACGGTCCGCCTTTCTGCGCGAAACACGACGTCACATTCCCAAACTTAAGTTTGTCGGAGTCTACTATTATGTAGTTATTTTAGTTATTTTTATTTGGCCAAAAATGGTTGGTAAGGAGAGTTCATTGTTTCGGCTATCTTTTTGTAAAAATGTTTGTTATAATTAGAGTTTATTTTGTGGTAATTCAAACAAACATTTGGAGGAGATCATATAGTTTTGAGTTCAAATGGAATAGGTCGAGTATAAAGACGTAAGTGTATTGAGAATAATGTCACTTTTAACATAATATGGTAGTAAAAGGAGTTAAGATAAGAACAGTAAAATTAAAATAAAATTCTAGATTACCCCATTCTTCCACTCTTGAATGTGGGCGAGGATTGGTGGAGGACAAAAAGATGGTGATTAGTAGTTGCTTCATGATTAGTAGCTCCTAAGATATCAATCTTATCGAACTTGTCTATGTCAGAAGTATCAAAAGTGTGAAGACCTCACTCATTGAAGTGCCTCACCAAGAGTGTGGAATATAATAATAACCTTATATAATAATGCTTGGATGAGTAAATGGGGGAACCAAAAAGTGATAAAATTAAAAATAATCATAAACTGATGCCAATAGCTCTTCATTTTCAAATCCCTGGAAAAAAATAAAAAAGATGAAGATCAGAAGACATAAGGTAGGAGATATTCAGAGGGTATCTTTTTGAAATACATTAAAATTTGGCATGACCGAAACAAAAATGATTGAGAACTACCTCTAGGAGGTCAAATGTAGGGAAAAATCATTCAAATAAAGGTGATGATGATTAAAAGAGATTTTTATTTGACTTTATACAGGGTGAGTGGGAAGGAAAGCACCAAGCTTTAAGACTGTATGATATACGTAACAATAATTAAAAATAGCTCGATTTTCATTTGTTTTCGGGTTATAGCGAACTTGTAACTTAACATTGATTTAATGTTAAGTGTTCAAAAATAAATAAAAAAAATTTCAAAAATAACGCCATTGACCTCTAAGCAATTTTCTGCTTTGTCTATGAAGGTTCAACGCTGTTCTGTCTTACTCTAATTGTACCGCAGGTTTACTGAAAATTTGCGGCTATTATTAATGCCGTCTCAGGTGAATGTTGCTTCTTCGGTAAAAAGTATGAGCAATACAACACGACGATTAATATCCATCCATCGACAAAATTGCATACATGTGACATAATCTTCCGGTTGTAGGTGCTGTACACATTGTAGGTGATATGGATAAAAGCCTTGCTCTGGAAGTATGTTAATTACTCTCATTTGAGGAATGCCCAAATGAGTACCAATTCTTCGTGAGCTGATCTCTGGATCATCTTCTGCTGACATCAGTATATTTCATGTAAACTTTGTCGAAGAGTACGTTAGTCGAGTTATGAGGTTATTTTATAACTAGGAAGCGTTCCAGTATAGCAAAGTTTGTTGAAATTTCTAATAGATACATTTTTATCTGGAGTTCTCCGATTTGAAAACCGTTGACAATATTGTTTAACAGCAGTTTTAGCATTTTCATTACAAAACCCATAAATAAACACCTTCTTTTTCTTCTTCTAGTGCCCTCTCCACTAATGAAGGTTGGCTATAACCATTCCAAATTTGTCTTTATCTTCTGCCTTTCTTAAGAGTGTCTGTGTGTTTAGCCCGGTTCAGTCGCAAATGTTTTTCAGCTAGGATATTCACTTTTCCTTCGATTTTACCCTTCATAATCAGCTGCAATAAGTTGTATTTATCATTTCTAAGTATTGTGCCCCAAATATGCTGTCTTTTGCCTTTTATTGGCGGTCAAAACTTCTCTATCACTTCCCATTCTCTGCAACACTATTTCGTATAATTTGATCAGTCCATGGTATCTTCAAAATTCTCCTAAAAAGCCACATCTTAGAAGCTTCCAGTTTTCTCATTTAACATTCTCATTCAAGTCAACATTAACAGTCCAGACTTCGACGCCATAAAGAAGATTTGAGTGGATATAAAATTTTACCAATCGATATCGGATTTGCAGATTGAGTCTTTGGTTACTCAGAAATTTCCTCATCTTCAGAAAGGCTGCTCTTGATTGCTTTATTCTTGAGCGTATTTCTGATTTCGGATTACTTGCTCAATATCTTCATTTTTTATCTGGATCCTTGCAATGACGTTGCCTCTGTTACTGATAACCATGCTTTTTGTTTTCTTTATGTATGTTGTTAAACCAAACTGTTCTCCAGTATCACAAATTGAGTTTAGTAACGTCTGCAGGTCTGTTTCATTTTCAGCGTTAATGACTGTATAACTTCTGTATATTTTTTTAGTGCTTGTGTAAATAACTCTTAGGAATATATATTTAATAGTAAGGGTGAAAGTATACAGCCCTGTCGCACTCCACTACTTATCTGTTGCGTATCCGTGCTATTTCGATCTAATGTTACCACAGTCTGTTGGTTCCAATAGAGATTTCTCACTATGTTAATGCCATTTTTGTCGAGTCCTTTTTTCTTTAGACATTCCATGAGAATGTTATGTTTAATTTTATCGAAAGCATTTTCTAACAACTTTTTCACACAAGCTGTCAAAAAACCGTTTAATCAAGTTGATACTATACTGGCACATATGACAGTCAACAAATATTAAACAAATCACAGATACCCGGTACTGCAAAGTGATAATTAAAAGTAAATAACTATTTTATGGGGAAAATAAGTGCGTTTTTGTATCATAAAGGTATTAACATAAAAATAAATAACAATTAGAGCGATTTATTATAACAACGCCAAATTTTATAACGAAATGTGTTACAAGAACATTTAAAACTAAATGAATGAAAAATTACAGCTTTGTGTTAGTATCACTATAGCTCAAAAACAAATATGAAAATTAAATGAAAATATACAAGTTGTTTTTAATTATTTTTACGTATATTATACACCTTCAGAGTTTAGTGCGTTCTTCCCCACTCACCCTGTATATCAAAGTCAGTAGCAAAATCAGTAATACCTCACCAATATTTGTTTACCTTTCATTAAAAAATTTTACAGTAGGTAGAGTTAATGGATTTTGGGAACAGCTATGACCTTGAACAAGCCACAAAGAATATAACTAAATCTTTTTTCTTACCCAGACTCTTTAAAGTCTTTTACAATATTTTAGAATCGAAGATATGTAATTATATTATTAATATATTGGATTTTAACAAGAGCTATGCATTATGCCTATTTAGTACACAAGTTTATGTGAAATGATCAAGGTCATAGCTGTTCCCAAAATCCATTACCTCTACACGAATGTTTTAATAATATATAAAATATTACAAAATTTGATCAGCTCTGCTGTCAATTTGTTACTGCTAGAATCGTTAGATGCTCTGAATATACAGTTCTGTAACATTCATTTTTGTAAAATTATAAACTTGTGGTATACAATATCTCTGATCAAAAGCTACTAGCAAAATTCGATCATTAATTTAAACTATATATTTATTTAGATAGATATATTTTACAAACAGCTCCACATCTTAAAGTTTAAACATTAAATTTATTTTGAATTTGTGCTTTATGCGTAATAATACAATTAAAAAAGCTGCGATGCCACTAAGAAATATTATAAATATAAGACACATACTCATATTTAGCTGTTATATAGTTGGTTTTGACAAATCAGAATCTATTGACTATCCTCCATCCTTCCCTGTCCTGGGCTAGTTGTTTGGCTTCATGTAACCCTTGGTTAATCAATATTTTTGTTTGATCTACCCAACAGCTTGGAGATCTTCCCCGATGTGTCCAAAATACTGCAAATAACTCTGTTGTATTTGTTTAAGTAATCTATCCTTTACTTTAAGTTGTTCTAATATCGATACATTAGTGCGATGATCAATCCAGGATATTCTTAACATGCGGTGGTATGCCCACATTTCAAAGGCGTCTGGTTTATTTTTATCCGCTTTCTTTAAGGTCCACGATTCGGATACGTATGTGGATACGGGAAAAATAAGTGCTCTTACCAGCCTTAGTTTTGTGTGCATTGTTATGCTAGAATTTTTCCAAATTCTTACCAGTTTCATCATAGCTGTTCTAGCAATAGTCGACCTTCTACGTATTTCTCTGTCACATCCTCCGTCATTTGTTATTTGGGACCCCAGGTGCATGAAACTGTTTACTACGTCAAAGCCCCAATTTTTTTAATGTGTTGAAGATTATTCCGAGCTCTGTCTATTATCATGATCTTTGTCTTACTCCTATTTAGCTTTAGTCCATATGTTTTGCTTTTCTCCTCCAGACATCTCATTATGTCTTCCATTTCTACTTGATTTGTCGCGATTGTTAAAGTGTTATTAGCATATCTCAAGTTATTGATTTTTTGACCTCCTACTGATATTTCACCCTTTCATCCGTCTAGTACCCTGTCGCATAATGTGTTCGCTGTAGATATTAAACATAGTTGGCGAGATTATGCATCCCTGCCTGTGTTCTGAAATGATCGGAATGAGTGTTGTTTGTTTTTACTGTGCACATTTTCATATACACTTCTAATTAGTTGAATTAAGTGGTAAGGTGTTCCCATTTCCGCTAGTATGGACCATAGCTGCTGCCATTTGACTTTATCGAAGGCCTTTGTGTAGTCCACAAAGCACATAAGCATATGAGTATTGAATTCACGAGTTTTTTCGATTAGTTGTCTGACATTAAGGAGTACAAATAAAGAGTACAAGTTAATTAATTCATTTTGTATGACCATATAAAATGATTTAATAAAAATTGTAGTTCTAAGAGAAATGTCAATAAAAAACTGGTATTTTAGATAGTTAGAGAAAGAAACTTACGTAGGAGATTTGTAAACTATTAAATCTTACGTATTGTTGTATATATTTTCGTTATATTTTACCACAGTTTTTATAAAGTAAATACATTATTTAGAGCAGTGCAGATCAAATTTTGTCTTAAAATAATAATTATCAACGTATATCAATTATTTATTTAAATAAATTTAAAATGAAAATTCACCTTATTATCACGGCCGTTAAATCTATAGAATCCCTCTCCCACTTGCACCTATACCAAAGAGAAAAAAGTATTAAGAACCAATCACCAAATAGAAAATGTTAACAGAAAAATTACTTATATATACACAATATGAAAAATTAAAAATTATTTATTATAAATTGGCGATCTACAAATTTATCAACCTCTTGATGCACTGTTAGACAAAGGTCTCTTCCATCATCTTCCACTTTTCTTAATCCTGTTCTTTTTACTTCAAATTTCCTGCTTTTTTCGTAAGAAGTCCATCCATCTAGTTGGTGGTCTACCTCAGTGTCTCTCGTTTTCTAATATGTCTCATTGTATGAGTATTTTGGTCCACCTATTATCATTTAATAGTACTCTATTGCCAGCTCATCTCCATTTAGCTTGTCCAATCTTTTCTATAACATCTGTTGTTTTAGTCATCTCTCTTACTATGCTCTTTGATATCATATATCTTCTTATTATATTCAGTATTGCTCTTTGGGTTACTTTTGATTGATCGTATATGTACAGTACACATTGGTTGAAAACTTTTTTATTTAAGCAAATGACTAGCATTCCTTTTAGAATATGTGTTGACCGTCCCAAACCTATACGGCGCTAAATCTCACAGGTTTGTTTGCTTCTTGCTATTTTAAATTCATGTCCCAAGTAAATATAGCTATAAACCAGATGTACTTAATTGCCACTATTCTCAGAACATCACTTGAAACTAAAATGGTCATGTAATTTGTTTTTTGCAAGGTAATGTTTGCAACCTACTTGCTTTATTCCCTTTTTTAGTTCTTCCATCATTTTGTAAGCTTTATATTGTTCTGAAGCTATTTTCTTGTGGCATTGTGAATTAATTACTATTAAACTGGGAATAAGCCACAATTAAAGATAAAAATACGTTTATTGACGTTTCAATTTCCACTTCGGAAATCGTTCTCAAAATACAAACAGTAAATTAAACAAATTTTGTTTTTTGTGACATAGTGAAAAATTCTTCTAATAATTTAATTTTATCTGACTCATTTATATTGACAATTCAGACATACATGTTGCATAAGCTTTGTTTAAACTCTAAGCTGTAATAACAATATCATCTGTCAAACGCAAGAGTTCACCAAGCTCAAGTTTTAGTTCAATCTAGTTTTTTAAACGCATATTCTAAAGCTGCTGTGAATAGATGGGGGAGATGGTATCTAATTTCTCCTCAATCCCATATTTATCCGTAAAGGATGAATTGAGTGCTACTTAGAGGTATATGCAGATAAATTAATTAATGAAAAAAAATCACCAATTATTTACAATAAATAATGTATATCTATAATAAAAGCATTTTTAAAACTTTTTAAAAACATTTATAGAATAACAATTATATGCAAATTTAAAAAAAAAAGTTGTTAGAAATATCAAAAAGCAGTTAATTTTAATTAATTGTCTTCTTTAACTTTGCATTTACGTCATACATATTTTTTAAACAAAACTTACCCTCCATAAGTAATTTCTATTGGTGGAACTAGGTACAGCATCTTTGGCATATATTTCTCCCACTAAAGGCCCAAACCTTGTGCCTCGTGGAATGTATCCTGTACTCCAAACACCTTGAGCCTGAAACAGAAGATTTTTACTTTAATATATTCATACAGTAAATGCTTAAGTAAGGACAAAAATTAGTCCGTATTTGCGTACTTCTATGCTATAAACCTTGTTTTTAACAAGCGAAGAAACTAATCAGGTAGTCAATATAACTTAGATGATTTACAGGATGATTCCATGGAATTCCTATATTAACTGGCGGTAAAATGTACGTAGATAAAAAATGAGTCAGTAGAGAACATATAATCAACTGCAAAAGAACCTCTAGGGGAATAAGCCTATAGTAACTATAAAAGAAAGAAATGCCCTTAGTAAACCCATGAAATAGAAATTCTGATGAAAGAGAACAAGAGAGCTTACGCCAAATGGGTAGTTACTGGAGCTGTCGAGGATAGAAATACATATAATGAGCAAAGAAAATTAGCAACAAGCAAAGTAAATAATGCTAAAAACAATTACTGGGAAATAACATGTAAAGAAGTCAATTCAAGAGCAAATATTGTGCCTAAAAAATAAGTAATGGACTACGAACACAGGAAAAAGACGTTACAGGACTACATCTTATTAATATTCAAGAGTGGAAAGAATATTATCACAAGCTCTTAACGGACAATAGAATCGAATTTCAGGAAAATAAAAGAAATCTACGAAGATAATGTTCAACAAATAGCAATAATAACTAAAGTAAAAGTACATAAAGTATTATGCAGCTAAACAATGGAAATACCTCTGATCCATAAAATAAAAGTAACGAACTTCTCAAAGCAGCTTCGGATACATTAATGGATATCCTGGCAGATACCTTTAATAAGTGCCTCAATGTCGATGAAATACCACCCAAAAGCTTTGTTAAAATACTGAATTGGAGAACAAGTTAACGAATCAGCAGATCAAAACAATTTTAGAGCTGGTTGCTTTTGCTATGCGGGATATTCACTATTAAACAGCTTATAAAGAGGACCAACTATCCATTGAACCTTTGTCGACCTTGAGAAATCCTACTATACTGTACCATTAAGTGGTAAAACCATGGTCTCAGTAAGGGTTACATTAAAACTGTAAAAGTCCTAACTTAGGATGTACCAGTGCAGTCCAAGTAGGCAATACGTCATCTAAATATTTTCGGATTAGTAAAGGCCTAATTTAGAGATGTTTCTTAGTGCAGCTATTGTTTAAAATATTTCTAAAAGAAGCACACAAAATATGGCAGCAAGGATGTGATCAAATGGAAATAACGATGGGTAATGACACAATATACTCTTTTCTCTTCGTAGACAATCAAGTGTTGATAGTTGATACCTGTTTGAGTAAAAAGGGATTAAAACTAAATATATATATATATATATATATATATATATATATATATATATGTATATATATATAAAATTAATATCAAACTCACCAGTCTTCCGGGTTGAACCGCGTCGTTGTCCATTTTGCCAAGCTTTCGGCATCCTCTCTGATGCCTTCCTCAGGGCTTCCGAGGTCTCAGTCTCCCGAGCCCCCAGACACTACTACACTGTTCACTATTCACGTGCACTACTAGTAGTGTTCGTGCCGTGAATAGTGAACAGTGTAGTAGTGTCTGGGGGCTCGGGAGACTGAGACCTCGGAAGCCCTGAGGAAGGCATCAGAGAGGATGCCGAAAGCTTGGCAAAATGGACAACGACGCGGTTCAACCCGGAAGACTGGTGAGTTTGATATTAATTTTAGTAATAATATTAATCTTAGCTCTAGGTTGTATGTATATATATATATATATATATATATATATATATATATATATATATATATAAGAAATATATGGTAATTGGTGATGGAAATAAGAAAGATCTCGTTACAGAAAAAATTATTAGTAAGCATTGCTCATATTTCAAATACTTGGGTGTAACATTAACATCAGACGGAATGAGCTAGACATTAAACACAAAATTGGTCAAGTTAGATGTGATATTTCCAATTAAATTCAATTCTCTGGAGCCATAAAATAACAAATAAAACAAAAAAGTCTATTTACAAAACCATTGTTAAAAGCAAATGTACATATTGTTCAGAAATATAGAAAGTTCGAAAGACAAATTGCTTTGTCTAGAAATGGAGTACTGGAGACGAACCACCAATATTTCGGAGCTACACCATGTTACAAATGATAAAATTTAAAGCTGAAAAACTGATATTAAAGAAGCAATGGAGAAAAGAGGCCTCCATGAAAGTGACTGATAGGACCGAATAATATGAAGTTGAGAAGCAAGAAAGGGTTTACTTCTGGGCTCGGTTACTTCTGGGCAGAAGTATATGCAGCCTATTTATATGAGCTCTTCTGATCAATTTTTTTTTCAATTTTATGAAGAAATTTTCTTCGAAAAGAGGATCTTACCCCGAATATCACAAAAATCGAATATACAGGATAGGGACAAGTGTTAGAGATTTAAGTTTAGAAGACTGTAAAGCAAAAGTCTGTAACATATTTATCCATAGTAATAGCAGAACCAATCACAATCTATGAACAGTATATTATACTGAAAAATATCGGAATGGATGACAAGGATATTCGTGTCATTAAAAATATGTGCTGGAATCAAACTGCTATCGTTAAAAATTGGAGATAACCACAACGATGAAATCTCCATACAACGAGGAGTCAGACAAGTTATTTAAAAAGGCACTTGAGAGACAACCATATGGAATAAAAATAATGTGATAAGATATGCAGAAAATACAGTAATTCTGTCAGATAATATTGAAGGTCAAGTTGAGAAAGTTCACAAAATGACATATTTGGGAACTGTGATAACGGACCAACTAGATCCAGACATAGAAATAAAACATAGAATAGCATTGACCAAAACTACTTTTATGAAAATGACGTTATTTTTTTGCAATAATCATCTCAGTTTAGAACTAAGACAAATAATGGTTAAGTGCTATGCTTGGTCCGTACTTTTGTATAGTGCGGAAGTGTGGACGCTAAAAGTATCGATCATAAACAAAATTGAAGCATTGGAAATGTGAGTTCATAGAAAAATGCTAAAGATACCTTGGACAACAAGAAAAACTAATGAAGAAGTACCAAGGAGCGTCAACAAAGATAAGGAACTGCTAAAGACTGTTAAACATCGAAAAATGTCTTATCTGGACATATAGTAAGCCAAAGTCGATATAAAGTATTACAACTGATCCTTAAAAACAAAATAGAGGGCCGTAGAGGTGTAGGAAGGAAACAAGTTTCTTGGTTAAAAAACATTCGTGAACGGACTCAGACATTAAATGCAGGACAATTATTCCATATTACAGAAGACCGAGAAGCCTTCACAATGGTGATCGCCAACATGGGATAATTCTAATATGGTACGCGAAGAAGAAGAATATTAAACTGCGTTAAAGAAAAAAAAATAACCAAAAAATAGACACCAGTTAATTTATCCAAAAATACTTTTCGCCTACCCAAAAAAAGTCTCAGAAATTAAAAAATATATGTAAGACACAAAAAAATTACAAAGCACTAGGCCCAAGCAACATTCTAGTAGAATTGATTAAAAATGGATCAAACAATCTTTACCAATTTCTATCAAAACTGATCCAAAATTGTCTTAACGGCAACAAACTTCCGAAAGAATGGAAATTGTCACATCTATATACCATTCATAAAAAGAGAAGGAAAATAGATTACCAGAACTATAAAGGACTTGCAGCACCAAGTACAATAAGCAAAATATTGGATAAAGTTGTGAAAAATTACATTGAAGCGAAATAAAGGGAATTGAAAACATAAAAACAATCAAGCTTTAGAGCAGGAAGATCTACCGTCGATCACCTTTTTTACTATTACCCAAACAGTAGAAAAGAAAAGGGCATTTAATCAAAAACTACACATTTTATTTGTCAATCTGAACAAAGCCTATGAAAGTGTCCACAAACAAAACATTAGTGTAAGGCTAATAAATTTTGTGAATGAAATATACACAAAACATCATATAAAGTGAAAACGACAAATGGTTTGTCAAATCATCTAGAAGATCACATCGAGAAAGAGTTACCACATAAGAACGTTAACAACATAATGATAAATTACATAAAATACAACAACTATAGTCGTAAGGTCACGTTCTTGGGAGAAGATCGATTACCAAAGCAGATGCTAGATTGTATACCATAGGAAAGGAGAAGAAGAGATACCACAAACAAGTTGGAGAAAGAGTATTAATGGTGAAATTAAAGAAAGGAGGCTAAATGGGGACATGTGTCAAATGTGCCAAAATATTGTGCCAAAATTAGAAATAAAAGAAGACGTCGTAGTATTGTAGCAAAAAAAGATAGATAATCGAAGAAAGATAACTCTAATAGTTTAAAATAGAGAGATTAAATACTATGATACAATAATATAAAATTGAATATGGTTCTGAAACCGTTTTCTTGTCGCATTTATAAGTTTGTTTAATGCGAATTTTATTGTGGTTAATTCCCATAAAATACAGTAGATAACATAAAGTCGAACACCAGTCTAAATTGAAGCTTTCATGTAAATTTATTTTCCTTCATAATCTGAAAGATGCTAAATGTATGAAATTGTGAATATATAGTAAAATTACTTACGTTAGCAACTACTTGGGAAGACTTGAGAACGAGATTTCTTGGAAGAGTAGCTTCTGCTCGATTCGGCGTTCCAGGATCGACAGGAAGATCTGGAACTATATAGGTGGTATGCAGTTCGAATTCTTCTTCGCGAATGTTCGCCAAGTCGAACTCGCTGGCAGAAGAAACCGTAGGTTCTTCCATCATTTCCTGCTGAAACACAAAAATATATTTTAGAAAACTAGGTCCATAGAAGGTTTGGTAGACTTTAAGAACATTTATAAATATTTTTGTTTTTTTATTAAAAACCTGTTTATTAAAAATACTTATCAGTTCGATGACCTTTCTTATCGAATAAAATAATATATTAAAAAATAAACATAATCAGGTATCTCATTCACTTTTGAGAAAGTATTTGAAAGTACTTAAATAGTTTATTTAAAGTACTTGATCTTCAGTATCAATTAATGTCTGTTTTTATTTTTTTATTACAAAAATACATCCGATATTATGGTGGTATTTACACTTCAGATCTTTAATTTTTCTATAAATATAATAAAATTATTATTTCGTATAGAACACTCAACACACAAAAATTATTTATTAAAAATCCTTTATAAAAGGTATATATTTAAAAACCCAATCGGGCTATTTTATAGAAAACGTTTTCGGAATCCATATTCCATCATCAGTGTCCTAAAAAGTATATAACCACTTAATTAAAAAGAAAATGAAATTTAAATTGTGTCCAAGGTACCTTGGTCCGTCTGAGGTAGATAGGGCAATGATGAGAATGTTAAACCGGTCATAAATTAAGTTCTTCTGGGTGTGGTATTTGAGCTTAATTACTATTTAACTGGGAATAAGCCACAATTAAAGGTTAAAATACATTTATTGACGTTTCAATTTCCACTTCGGAAATCTTTCTCAAAATACAAACAATCCGAAGTGGAAATTGAAACGTCAATAAACATATTTTATCCTTTAATTGTGGCTTATTCCCAGTTAAATAGTAATTAATTGAAAATGCCACAATAAAATAGCTTTAGAACAATGGTATTTGGGCATCCTACAAGGATTATAACGTCACCAGTATCTACAATAATTCGTAACGTATATAACGTAAATAATAATAATTATGCCGATTTACGTTTTTGTTAATAACAAAAGTGGCTCATTGATTATTTAAAAAATTTGATCGTTTGGTACAACATTTTCCCATAATTATGTCCGCAAACTAACATAAATGTAAACAAGGAAATATAATTAAAGCAACACCAGATATAGACGAAGAAAATGAAATACAGGAGTTAAATGTTAGCAAAGAAGAAATACAAACTACACTGAAAGAACTAAAAAATGGCAAAGCCTCTGGAACCTACCAATAGATTTAGTAAAGGCCGACGCAAATCTGTAGAAATGTGACATAAACTCTTTAAGTAGATATGGGTTGACGAGGGCCTACCGAAAGGCTGGAACGAGTCTGTAATCTTTAAGATACTAAAAAATTGATCCAAGTGTATGCGAGAATTGGCGAGCTATAACAGTGCTGAGCGCCACATCCAAAATAATGTCCAAGATCATATTGAATAAACCAAAAACAGAATTAGAAAACAAACTAAGAAGCAACCAAACAAGCTTTTGCTCTAAACGTTCCAAACGCTCCAAAAGAAATATAAATATGTTTATTCGGAAAGGCAGTCAGACTTTTATAGTATAAACAGAAAGCAAATGTGGAATTCTACTATTCTGGTCATCAGCAAGCACCAAAACAGAAGGGTGAAGGTCAATATCGACGGAACAGATCTGGAAAGAGTAACAAGAACAACGTACCTTGGAAGTAATCTTGATGAAACTTGGGACCACTCACTAGAGATAAGAATACGCCTGGAAAAGGCACGTACAATGTTTTACAAAATGCAAAAAGTTCTATGTAACCGCCAGCTGGGCATCTCATTGAGAACTAGAATACTTAAGTGCTATGTTTTCTCCGCCTTGCTCTATGGTGTTGAAGCCTGGACAATGACAGAAGCAACACAAAAAAGAATTCAAGCATTCGAACTCTGGTGTTACCGTAAAATGTTCACAATATCCTACATGAGCCATACGACAAAAGCGGAAGTCTTGCGGAGGATGAATAAGGAAAGAGAGCTTATGCTTATAATAAAAGAACGGAAAACACAATATTTTGGTCACATCATAAGAAATCAAAAGTATGAACTGCTCCAACTTATAATCGAAGGCAAAGTCAATAGCAAAAGGGGACCAGGAAAAAGACGCAACTCTTGGCTTAAAAACCTACGGCAATGGACGAACATGACCTCCCTAGAACTATTCAGGGCTGCTACAAATAAGATTAAATGGGCAATTGTAATGGCCAACGTCCTTAAAGATAAGGCACCGTAAGAAGAAGAACTTTTCTGAAACTATATGGACTACTGATGAAATATATCATCCTTATCAGATTAATCTACGATGAATACAGAGCCAGACTAGAACATGTGGGAGAATGATAAAAGATATAACTATACAAAGATATAACTGTACAAGGATACGTACTGTCCCTGCAATTATTCCGAATCATAACGGATTGAATTAGAAACAGGTATTAGGTTGAACTTGCACAAGCAGTAAGAAGACTTGAGTTTGCAGACGGGATTTTTTCTTCTAACAAAACATAGCAACCATATGCAGAAGAAGATCGAAAAACTTGCAAAATACTCCAATGTAATGGGCTTTAAAATAAATACAGAAAAAACAAAACCCTTAAAAAACAACATCCAAGAAACTAAAATTAAAATTATGGAAGGCAAGTAGAATGGAGGCACTCGAATGAAAAGAAAGGCCGGATAATAGCTAGAGAAGAACTGTAACAAGAGATCTTAAAAAAATTGACCTGAAAAGGAAATAGGTCAATCAGGGAGCTAGAAATAGAAAGGAGTTAAAAAGGGGAAAGGAAATTTCTAAGAGATAATATAGAAAAGAATGCACTGATCCAGTCAATCAGGCATCTTTTACTTTTGGCTAAGAAATGCAAGGTGGGTAGCATTCCAGTAGGCAGAGAGATACCATAAAACCCAGGAAAGACGGAAGAAGACCCGAAAACTACAACCCAATATCCCTTCTGGAGTTAATAGGAAAATTATTGGAGAAGATTATCTAAAAAAGACTGATGAAGCATACAGAAGGAGGAAGAATAACCTAAGAAGACCAATTCGGATTTAGAAGAGGAAGAAACTGCAAACTACAGTTAGCAAGAGTAATCAGCGACATGAAGATACGCTTCAACAGAAACGATATAACTAAAGTGACCATCCTTGACATCGATAAGGCCTACCCCGCGCTCTAGAAGAAAGCCCTAATTCACAAGATGGACAGAGCTAGATTGCCATATTATTTAGTTAATATAAGTAACTCATATTTAACTAATAGAACTTTTTAAATTTCAGCTGACCAAAAGGTGTCCAGTATGCAAGTAGTCCAAGAAGGAATGCCTCAGGGAGTATCCTATCGCCCATTTTATACAAAATTTTTGTTTTAGACTTACCAACAGATGCAAGAAGAAATACAGCATTAAAAGTGTGTTTAAAAAATATAAAAAAATTCAAATAAGAAAATTAAATATGATAAAGGGCAAACAATTTACTATTTAGTTAGTCTATCTTGGTATAAATATGTTTAAAATAGAGACTGCCCAATAATATTAATTAAGATGAACTAATAAAAAAAATAATGAAATGCATTATGATATTATATATCAAAAAAAATTTTAATATTAAACTCTTACTCAAGACTTATTTTTACTCCTTGAGTATTTTTTGCAATGTTTTTAATAGAAAATAGAAATATTTACATCAAACAAAAAAACAACCAAATCTTACTCAAATATAGTTGCATATAAGTTGTTATAGAAAAGAATATAGTTGCAGTTATTACCTCTTTTTTTGAGAGAGATGCAAAGAAGCATTTGGGTTTTGTGTTTTTGGGGATGCAAACTTCTTACCAACATTAATGCTAATGTCCTGTTGGAAACAAACCATAAAATAAATTCGTAATTTTGATTTTTTCGTTTTTTTTGTAATTAAACTTCTTGATATGTGCAGCTTTACTGCTTTAACATCGCATTCTTCTCTAATTTAGTTTCTATTTCCTATCGTTTTTGTCCGTGTTGGTAATTTTGTCTTTTTTTAGATTTATTTCTAATCCAATTCCGCTGGGCCTTTTTTTAATTAAGATGTGTGAAAATAAACTTTAACAATAAACTGGACAACTATGTTTTATCATATTAGTTAACTAAATAAAAAAAATGCCAAAGCTTTAAAGCTTCTTATGTTTATTTTAATAGTGTCACCCTTTTCTGCATAATCTTTTCTGCAGAAGGTTGTTCATTGTAGTGAACAACATACTTAACCTAAAAACATTGTAAGAGGAATTAAATTTCTGGTACAATATGAAGGCCGCTGTCGTCTCAGTCTACATCGAGATACTTTTACTGAAAGCAAAAGTTATACGATGTCCTTATTATTTTCTGCATCAATGGATGCTTTTGACGATTATGCATAGATGCATAAAGGGTGGAAATGATAATCAATATGCACTTGTATCGGGGTTGTTACTATATGTTCAGCTTGACTCTGGTTCGGTATTGATTAAGTAATTAAGGCAGCATGACTACGATGGACAAGTTTGACTATTATTTTCGATTTTATACTTTGTGAAAGTATAAAATCAAAATCATTGTTTTTATTGTCTTTCTATATATAAATATTTATAAAATATTTAGAAATACTTTAGATAAATAGAAAACTTAATTAATATTAAACATTTTGTGATTATGTGTTCATATTCTCGGTAAATTATATTTAAGTTTTGCCTCTATATCCTTTTCTCAAGATTTTTAAATCTCTTATCAACAGGTTTTATTTTGTCAATAGGTTTCTTTTTTTTGGTTCTGATTTTAGTGAATAAATTTCTTGTTTTTTTATTGACCTTTCCCTATGTTTGTTAACGAACTTTATTCCTTGTTAGATCTTGTTAATTTATCAGGCTTTTTTAGGTAAATATAAATGTATTCTTCTGTTATTTTTGTTGTACTTTTTTGTACTACAGTTTATGTTTATTCAGATATGTCAATAATTGAATCGTAATTGTTTTATGATTATTTCTTTTAACTTCAGTGAGTCTTTATGTCTCAGTATATTCTTATTTAATGTTA